CTGCTGCTCTCTCCCTTTCCTCCCAGCCCATCTATATTTCAACTATAGTCAGCATCTCTTTGCTTATACTCATGATGTTCTCTTTATGGAAAACCTGCTCTCTGCCTCTTGGCTCTCCCTTCTTCCCATTGTTGAGTGCACCATCTAGTTGGTGAATAACTTGTCTTTTAACTCCTGGTTCCAATATCACAGCCTCTATGAAGCCTTTCTTCTCTACTTGAGTGGAATACATTTACTTTTCTCTTTCTCTCTTGTCTCCAACCAATCCATCAGCAAATCTATTTAAAAGGTATCCAGAAACCAACTGCTTCTCACCAACTCCACTGCTGGTTTAAGTCTCTCTCATTTTTTACTTGGAGTATTTGCAGTAGTTTCTTTACTGGTCTACCTGCTTCTATCTTCGAGCCTTAAAGTTTGTTCTTCGTATAATAGCTGGAATCTTATTAAAATGCAATTAAGCCATGTCACTTTCTCAAACCTCTCCAGTGGCTTTCTGTCTCACATAAAGGAAGGTGAAGTCCTTAACGCTGGCCCATGCTGCCTTACATGGCCTGGCCCCCGAATCCTGTCTGATTTCTGATCTCATTACTTATCACTGTAGCCTTTGCTCGCTGCTCTCCAGTGACACTGGCCCCCATGACATACTTACATGTTCCTGGAAATTAATAAGAGCAGAAGGAACAAAAAGATAAATAACAGAAAAAAAAATGAGTTGAGTTTAAGTATGTAAATTGAAAGAGCTCACCAATTTTCAAGTAACTTCAAGAAAAAAAAAATACACTTAGGAATATTTTCAACTTTTTAAAAACAAAATAATGAGTCTAGGGAGAAATAAACAGTTTACTTAATTTAAAGGAAGAAAATTCAAATTTACTTCAGACTCCTCTATAACTCTAAAATGTGCGTTGGCACAACTATCTAGTTTCAGGGGACCCAGCTAAAACTAATTGATGTGCTAAAGATTTTTGTGTGACAATATAACCTGCAGGGTTTTATTTAATATTTTAAAACTGGAGTAAGATTTATACTATATAAGAAAGGCATGATTAAATGGTATATTCCTTTTTAATACTGTATTTGCAACCACTTAAAATTATATAATTAAACATGGGATAATTAAATGGAAATCTATAGCATGTTAATGGATTAGAAGACACAATATTGCTGAGATATCAATTCTGCCCAAGATGACCTATAATTTGATACAATCTCACCCAAAATTCTACCCAGGCAATTTTGTAGGAATTTACAAGTTGCTTGTAAATTTTATATGGAAATTCAAAGGATCTAGAATAGTGAAAACAACTTGGAAAAAGAGGAGGAAGGCAAGGGAGGGGGTGGAAATAGTCTATATCTTGATTGTGGTAGTGGTTACACAAGTGTGTACAATTGTCTCAACTTATATTCTTAAAAATTGATGTACTTTATAGTAAGTTATACTGTAAAGCTGATTAAAACTAAACCAAGCATACACACCCAAAAGAAGAAATTAGGCATTAGAAATAAATAATCTCAGATCAACGTTGGGAGCATTTTAAAGGTGAATGTTCAAAGTCCCAGAGAGAAAGAGAGACATTAAAAGAATTCAGAGGTGTTCCAATTTGCAGTCTCTGCTGACTTGAATCACCAGGGTATTTAAAAATCATAGCATATATCAGATTCCCACTTCTTGCAAAAGCCTGAAAATTTGGTGCAGGTGATAGTGGCCATTTGGTAGGGAATAGGGAAGCAGGCAAGTCTAAGGAATTATGAATATGTGATAGGCCAGGGAGGCTGAATTTAGTACTGGAAAAATATTAAACATCATCACAGAACCAATTAGAAAATAGTGAAGCTAGTACAGTGGCAGAAGCTTGGCTTTGTAAAGAATGGGCCAGGCCAGACCGCTTCAGCCCCTCTGGACACTGAGTGGCAGCCTGGTAGTTTAACCAGAAGCAGTAATCCGAATGATTCTTGGCCCTGGTCAGCTATTTAAATGCAGTCAGTATAAACCCCTCGTCACTAAAATTGGAAAATATGGTTTCCAGTGCTAGATTAATCCTAGCTGAGGTTTGATAGCTAATTGACCAGCCTGGGATGATGTGAAGAACAGAGGGGAAAGAATGAATGTTCCAGATAGGGAATAGCATACTCGAATCAGGAGTGATGGATGTATAGTGTGCTTGAGGCATTCAGAGGTTTGTATGGGTAGAACATGGGGTGGGAAGTGTGAGGGTCTGTGGGCGAGGGGGGAAAATGAAAGAGCTGAGGCCAGAACACAAAAGGCCTTAATTAACCATGAGAAAGAGCAGAATCTTACTGGTGAATTCCCCTGGGCCATAATGGAAGTCCTAACAGACAGCTGGTTCTAGGGTTCAAGGTGACTTCCCAGGTTTTTTCAGTTCTATCACTTGGTGCCTCTCCCTGCAATTAAATTGAGCAAACATTATTATACTGAGAAATAAAAAGAGGAATCTTTGATGTTAAGTAGACCGCTTTTTAGTTCCATTTTAATATTAAAGGAGATTGTATGCCTTTAAGTAGGTTTTAAAAAAATAGCCACGTTGTTGTAAATTAGAAAAATGCGTAAGTACAAAACTTTGTACCTGAGCCTAGAGAACAGAGAAATGAAGGACTGTCACCAGATGAGAACAGATTCTTAGACACTAGATGCTAACCAGCTCGGGAAAGTCTTCTCTGTGCCTTAATTTTTTATCTATAAAATGGGAGTAAGAGATCTGTTATCTACAGTTCTGAAATTTCAAAGAGCTCTGAAAAACCGGTGTTGGTTTTGTTTTAATTTCATAAGTTTGTGCCCAACTCATTTGGTGGTGAAGTCCAACCTGAATTTGAGGTTTTTATAGTCATTTCCCAGGTGGTGCACATATTCATGAATTATACCGAAATGTTAAGGTTTGCTTATGGGGCACTGCCCTAAACCCTGCTGGAGCTGTTTATAATATATACTTTATGAACTTTAGTCTCTTTCTAAAATCAAAACAGTTCTGGATTCTGAAACATCTGGCCCCAGGGTATTTAGATAAAAGATCATATACCGATAACACCTTCCTCATAGGGTTATTTGAGGTTTCGATTTCTTACAGCAGAACTCAGAAAATGGAGAAGCTATTATTATTTATTGTTATTTAAGTTCAAAAATTAGATTCCCTTCCCCATCCCCTGAGGATGAGTAAGGATTAACACCGGCTGAGACCTAAATTTATTCTCACTACTTCTGTATTTAGTCTGTCAAGTTTGAGTTATAGTATATAATTTATTGAAATGGAATGTTTCTCTTTACTGTCCTCTGAACACTTATCATTTGGTTTTTGCAATCTTTACATACTTGGATGGATGCCTTATTTGCCTCCAGGTGTTAGCTGACAGACTTACTTTTCAGTCATCTTTCCTAAGGTACATCTTACGAAACTCATGGTTAGATTACAAATAAAAATACATCTTATTTTCTTGGAGTTCTCAATAAAACTGAGTTCTTAACAATGTCTTTGTTTTTAAAGTCATTGGTTAAAAACACTAGAGGAAAAATAGCCATCTAGATTTCAGTGTTTCCCAAGCAGAATTTTATTTTCATGATTGATTTTTTGGCATACTTCCTATTTCTTCAAGCCATCTAAAACCCTTTTGCTGCATTTAATCCTTGACCTTCAGGCATGGAGAACTGATTATGCAATACACTATTAATATTAGGAAGATTTTAACTGAAAATTTTATAGACTGAAATACTTGGGATATAAAAAAAGATTATTTAAATACATATTATATTTTAAAAGGAAGAGATAAAGCACTTACTTTTTAATGTGCTTTTTGGTAGGATATTTGCCTTTAGTCAGAGTTGGTTTGGAACATATCAATAATGACTCTCTGCCACTCTGCTTCCTGGTCCCCTGTGTCTTTTCCCTGGAAGGATGTTGCTGCCAACTTATGCTTGCAACCTGTGTGTGTGTTTACCCTTGTTTGGGTAAGTGTTACTAGGTGCTCCACTCCTCACTGACAATTCTAGTGCCTGGGTGGTTACACTCCAGCATCAGAAGAAATAGGAATGCAGTGAGGGGGGACTGACCCAGAGCACAGGGAGCGAAGGTTTAATAGTGTATATGGATTAGAATGGGGACTTTCTACACTGGTTCAGAGGTAGAAAGAGAAAGCAACACAGGATAGGACTCCCCACCCCCCTTTTTCCCGAATTGGTTCTAGGTCTCATGCTTTTTCCATCCTATTTTGCCAATTCTAAATCAGCCTAACAGCCGACCACTGAACTTCCTCTCCCTGCAGATGGAAGTGTGGGCAGGAAAGGTTTCACTCACTTGTGAATAGAAAAATCCCCACCCTGACCCTTTTGCTGTCATGATTCGCTGTGTTGCATTAGGCCAGTCCTTTTTTTCCATAAGAGCATAGAACCAAATGACCACGGCCAGATTTTGCATTCTCTTAGGCTAGGCCATTAGGAGATAAGTGTGGCAGTTTGGGGGTGCTTTTGTTTTGTAGATTTATAGCAGGTTAACTTTGGGTAAAATCTCCTCACATTCTGCCAGACATTTCATCTTAAAAAAAAATAAAATCCCCAAACCCTAATTCCTGTGAGGCTCTCTAGAGTATTGTAAGGACAGGATTTATTATAATCTGTTTAAAATCATTCAATTCATACGAGCATTGTTTTTCCATTTTCTAGTACTCTATAAAGCCACTCATGGTATTAGTCATTTAAACCCCTCTAAGACCCAGTTTCTTCATCCCCAAAACAGGATGTAATGCTATAAACGTGTTTTGAAAAATGTAAAACCTTTTGTAAATAGTGGATTTTATTTAAAGTAGAAAAAAATTATTAGTTTGATTAATGAATATAACTCTATCATGTATATACATGTATGTAGTAGTCAGTGGTAAATATGCAGCTATCAAGGCAATAAAAGGTGAACAGAATTTCCTTGCTCTGATTCGGGATGTAACAATATCTCCTGTCGGTTCTTTCCTTCCTCCCCCATCGGCCCATCTCTAAGCAGTATTCCACGGAACTGAAGAAGCTCTACTGCCAAATTGCCAAGACATGCCCCATCCAGATCAAGGTGATGACCCCACCTCCTCAGGGCGCTGTCATCCGTGCCATGCCTGTCTACAAGAAAGCTGAACATGTCACTGAGGTGGTGAAACGGTGCCCCAACCACGAGCTGAGCCGTGAATTCAATGAGGGTAAGGAGGAGAGGATTCTGTTGCTGTTCAGCTAAGCTCCTTGAAAACAGGGGTCCTGTGAAGACTTTCGTTTGGAGCCCATTTACCTGGTTACAACCTCTGCAATCTGATGGTAGCTCAGTCTACTTTTTTTTGGTTGATAGAGTGCCTGAGAATAATGATCTATATATTTGTGCTTTCACAATGACTCACAATGATTGAACTATTTAATTTAATATTATTAATTACTGGGTAATCTGAACTTGTCTCTCTACTCCCTGCTGCTTATTTTTTTTCTTTTTTAATGAGAGGGTGTAAGAAGAACAATGTGGCATTTGGTCATTTGGTCTGTTCAGCCCAGGCTAGGGAACCCGGCTTTAGTGCCTTTCCCAGAGTGACTGTCCAGGCCTCACCAACTGAGAGCTGAAAGGGTAAGAGGAAGGAGAATACAAAGTGAGCAATATGAAGAAACAGAGAGAAAAGTGGAAAAGAAGAAAAATGAAAGAAGACAAAAGATTGGCAAGAGGAGTAAATAGAAATCTGCAACATAAGCCAGGGAGGAAGATAGGTATCTCAGGGCCACCTTTAAGGTCTGCATCCATGCCCATGTTCTGAGGCATAAATCCCACAATTGCTTTACAGAAGATCTCACTGTTTCCGAGGGTTCCCTGACATTTGATATTCTAAGGTTTTGTGAAAAAAGTCTAAGTAAAGAACACAGAAAAGTGGAAAGGAAGGATAGGAGAATGTACACAGATTCATCAAAGAGTGATGAGGGTGCAGGACTGTTGGGAGTTAAGACACTTTATGTAGAACATATATTTATAATGGAAAGATTGGTTGGTAGCTAGAATGTGTGAATATAGAGAATATAGGAGATGATACCAAAAAATTACTGGAGAAAGAAAAAGAGTGGGTAGAAATTTCAGATGAGAAAATAAAGTTTAAACCCTCCTACCTTAACACACCTAATTTTTACGCAGTAACTTCGCGTATTTTCCTACACGGTCTCCTTGTCCATCCATACCTCCGCATCTTGCTTTTCACTTAACAATATGCCACAGAGATTGTTTCTTGCAGCTAAGCTTTATTATAGGTTTTTATGCCTGCCCTTGATCCATCAAGATGACATAACTGTTTATTTTTTTTCTCAGTGTTTTACATAATAGCTGTTTTTAGTTTTTGCCATAATAGATGCTGTTTCAGAGGGCATCTTGACACACTTAGCTTTCCACTGTAATTCAATATCAGTTTTTGTGATAATATGCGGTCAAAGGTTAAGAGCACCTTTATGGTTCTCAGTTCTTGGATCATTTGGAGCTTTGTCCAATATCATAATTTTGTGAAACTTTGCCTAGTCTTTTAAAAAAATTGTCTTTCTTTCTTATTTCCCATCCTTGGGCTCTTTCAGCACAATAAAACCACTAAGTTTCTCATCTTTATGACTAAAACAAAGTCTAAAGTTAGAAACTTTGTGATGGAGAAGACAATAGGCAAACAGAAAGGGATGCCCTTGCCATCTGTTGCCTTTTATTTGTTTGTTTTTTTCTGGTCAATTTTTTAATACTATTTCTCAAGGTGTTTTTTTGTTTGTTTGTTTTTAATTAATTTGTTTCTTTTTCTTCTATTTTCCATAAACTACCAAAATCTTCTCTATGGATCTAGTCAGATACGTATTCATAGAGTTCTCTCAAATGTTGGGTTATTAACCTTAAGCACTGGAAATAGGACTGTTCTCCTAAATATATATGAGTGTTCCAGACCTTTCTGGTGCTATAAAGGTTGTGACACCTTCATGCATTAGATATCTGGCAACAGGATCTTTTCCTTTTATCAAGGATACATATTTCCTCTATTAAACCATTTCTTTGGCTGCCAGCATTCTTTCTATGCTGTTTCATTTTGTTTTCTTTGAAAGTGAAGAACTAACAATTTTGTCTTTCTCTGCTCTGCAGGACAGATTGCCCCCCCTAGTCATTTGATTCGAGTGGAAGGGAACAGCCACGCCCAGTATGTAGAAGACCCCATCACAGGCAGACAGAGTGTGCTGGTACCTTACGAGCCACCCCAGGTAAAAAGATAAGGACTGGGCTGAGTTGGTGGATGACTCATTTCAGTGATAAAGGGTGTTTTGGGCATCTATTTCCGTCTTAGTTCTTGTTATCAAATATGTAACCTTTTTTATTTCTTCTCCACATATTGCTTCTCTACCTCCTTCAGAACTCCTAAATTTGTACTAAATTAGCTTGGCAACATGGCTCTGTGCCCACATTCCCATCTCAAAGGCTGATAATAATTGAATTTGCAACTGGGTTAATCCATGACCTTATCCAGAGAATTTACCTGGCAATTGAGGTGGTAGTGAATGTGCACCAATCCTGGATGCCAGGAATCTTCACTGCACCTGGGAGACCCTGAGAGGGATGGCTTAGCTGAAGGTTGAGTGAACAGGTGGCAAATTAGAAAAGCAGAACCCTGGCATAGGGAGACCAGAGTCTTGGTTGCTGCTTGCCGTGTGAACCTTTAACTGTGACCCCTGCTCTCCGGACTTCAGCTGCCCCATCCATAAATGAGCACTTTGGACTAAATGATTTAATGCTGAGACGCTTTTAAGCCCCAGAGTGTTATTTATGGAAGTGTATCTTCAAATCTATGTGATTCTGTTTTATCTACATTAGGGAAACTATCCCTGGAGCACTGCTGCTATTTTTGGTAATGCTTTCAGCTCTCCCTTTACAGCAATAATTATATATGGGATGAACCCTGTTTAAATTGGGCGATATGTATCCGCTTGCAAATGAATCGGGTCAAAGATGATTCCTTTTTAGGTCTATCTCCCCTCATGTAGAGTCCAATGTTGCAAACATTAGCGTTCAGCTTCCCAAGAGGCAAGGCAAAGAGGACTGACAATGGGTTTTAGGTTGTCTTCCTAGAAAAAAGCATTATCACCTCATCAGAAGTGGAGTTGTTTAAACGGAGGGAAGAACTGAGAAGGGAGACCATTCGATCAGATGATTGTTAACACAGACTGTTTTTCCCCATGTCCAGGTTGGCACTGAATTCACGACAGTCTTGTACAATTTTATGTGTAACAGCAGTTGTGTTGGAGGGATGAACCGCCGTCCAATTTTAATCATTGTTACTCTGGAAACCAGAGAGTAAGTGGCATGTGCACAATTGTCATTCTGCAGAAACCATGGGCAGAGGGCAACGTGAAATTGTGTTTGCTTTATCATTGCTTTTGCATGTGCAGCAGAGAGCCGCCCTCGATTTTATCCTCTGTGCTTTAAATCCTTGCCGCAAATACTTACATAAAAGATCTAAGAAAGTGGAGACAAAACCGGGTGGGTAAACACAGAAGGGGGAAAAAAAGAGAGAAGGCATGCAAGTCGCTTCATACCTGAATTCTTGACATTTAACTGGAAAGGTTTCTGATTAGACAGTGTTTGTTTTCATGTGGCCCCCAAGGCATTTAACAGTTCCTTTGAGTAAGCCTGGGCTGCCTAAGGGAGTTTTATCCGGAGACATCCACTGGCTTAATTCAAGCTTCCTTCAAAATATGTAGCTAAATACAGCTGTTCAGCTAATGGCTTGGAGGTTCTTTGCAGAACAAATGGAATGTTATTTACTAATATTGCTTGTGGCATGTAAGCACTTTTGTGTTCTGCCGAGTGCTGTGGGGTGCACCCTCAAAGCAGCCGTGACTGAGCCATGGTGATAGTGGGCTGGTGATGACCAGCAGTGGACCTGGGAGACTTCAGGGAACTTTTATAGTTCTTTTAATTTGACTCTTTCCTCCCCTCTTCTCTAATGCGTAGTGGGCAAGTCCTGGGCAGACGCTGCTTTGAGGCCCGGATCTGTGCTTGCCCGGGGAGAGACAGGAAGGCCGACGAAGACAGCATCAGAAAGCAGCAGGTCTCAGACAGCACAAAGAACGGTGATGGTACGAAGCGCCGTAAGTAGCTGTAGAGGCCGAATGGAGTAGGGTTCAGTCCAATGCCGATACAGGGGCGGGGGCTGATATTTGAGAAGCTGTATAACAGGACCGAAGGCCTCTAGGGGCGAGGATGACTTGAGGCCCCAGAGCCGACGGGAATGGCTCTCACATTGTTGGAGGTGTTCAAATGGGCTGGAGGTATGCATTATAGCTTGACAAAGACAAATCGCCACTGTGAGGATTTCTTAGTCCCATACCAGTAGCATCAGCAGCATCTGGAAACAGGAGAGGTATACATCTTTAGTTCCCATAAACGCTGGTTATGAGGCCCAGCAATGTGTGTTTAGTAAGCTCTCCAGGTGACTCCAGTGCTGGCAGAAGTTTGAGAATCAGTGTCTTAGTCCATTGGTATCAGTTTATCTTTCTGTTACTGAGCATGAGGGCTGAAAATCCATCTGCCAACCTCATGAGTCCATGAGGACAGTGAGATTTAAGGACACATTTTGTAAAGCACCCTCTGGAGAATATACAGATCTGGGTTTCACTGAGTCTTGACACTGAGGCCTCAATCACCTTATCAATAGTGAGGCTAGTGATTTGGTTCCGTTGTTTTGTTAAGCAGAAAAAGCTTTTTCAAAAATGAAACTCACATTGAAAAATAGATGAAAGCAGAGGGGCTATAGTTGAAGGGGTCAAAGCTAGGGGTGGTCTGGGGCCCCATGGTCTGCTCATCACTACCCCGAGCCACACCCCACAGAGGCCTAGCCCTCCAGCTAACCAGGGGTGAGAACCACGGGTCCACACGTGTTCTAACTTGTGAGGTTTGATTCTAGACAGTGTCTCGCATATGTCTGATATCACCAAAACAAATATTTTAAAGTATGCCACACTGTAACTAATTTCATGAAAAACATTTTAATTTTATTACTAATTAGTGTCCAGAAGAAATAGAAATTATACTGTATTTTACAGGAGAGTCACAGAAAGTTATGACAACTAGTTACTATTAACTTCTAACTGTTCAGTATGATTTGCCTGTCCTGTTAAGCTCTTTCTGATTATTCTTCAAAATGCTATATATATATATACACACACACACACACACACACACACACACATATACATATAATATGAATTATGTAAGTTATTTTTAAATGTAATAATATAAATAACATAAAAACAATTTATTTTCACCCTAATTTTTCTCTTGAGTCTACCTGGTGGCCTAGTTCCTATTCTTTCCTGAGCATCTCAATTACTTACAAATTAATGAATATCAGTAAGAATGGATTATCTGAACTTTGGTAGAGGATCATCTTTATACCCTGAATCCTGAACGTAGTTTCTGATTTTGGAAACCACAGGAATTTATGAGCTTAATTCACTCATTTTACTGAAAAGAAAACTGAGGTCCTGGAAAGTGAGACTGCCTGTCAGAAGCTACCTGATGCATATATTAACATGAGAGGGATGAGCGCACAAGCTGAATTCATTGTCAAGACAACCTCTACAACACGCATTTACCACCTTGGAAGATAAATGACCTGAAAAATAAAACATAAAACCAATTCATCTTCCTTTCTTTAACAGCTGTTCACAGACACAGGCCAGTAACACAGGGATTTAAGCCTTGGGCCATTTTCCAGCATCTCCCAAACTCTGCCTTTCCCTTGTCCTGCTTCACTTACCCCCCACCTCGTTACTGTTAGGTTTGCACTTAATGTAAAAGCAATCATCACCAATTAAGTGGATGCTAAGATCTAGAAACTCTGATCTCACAGGCGTTGCTGGAGCTGTTTCTGTTTAGTAAACGTACTATTGCTTTAGAAATGTTCCCAGAATGAAGCTTGCATTTTTTCTCCACCAGCTTTTCGTCAGAACACACATGGCATCCAGATGACATCCATCAAGAAACGAAGATCCCCAGATGATGAACTCTTATACTTACCAGTGAGTCTCCCTTGGGTATCCATGATCGCTTCATTTTCACCTTCCTTGAATGAGCTTTTACTCTATGGTCATATTCTGATTACCTGTGAAAATGAGAAAACAAAGAAAATACTTTTTTTTTTAATCAAGAAATAACCCCTTGCCTCTATATTTTTGGAATAGATAAATAGTATGGGCTCCTGTCCCTACTACTCACCCGGTCAAAGCTACGCCCCTAATAGAATTTTTCTTACACAAATATTTAAAATTAATTTATACTTCATTATTCAAGACTGATAAAATTATCCTAGACAACATGGCTACACCAATTTAGCACTGAAATTTTGCCAGGAGTAGTTCAAAAAGTCGATCATACAACATTCATAGAGAGTTAACTGTGATTTCTTTCAAGGAGTAGTATAAAGAAAGCCAAGCAAGGCAGACTCCCCAGTAGTATGCGAATGGCCGGAGGGCTCAGTCCAATCACTGCTCCTTTCCATGAGGAACATTCGTTCTCTCAAGATCCCTAAGGTGCCCTGTGTTAGTCTGCAGTTGCAATGTGTTAAAATTTTATTCCCTTAGGTCTTTGCCATCTAGAGTGACAGCAATGTTTTAGTAACCAGTATAGCCCTCGATGCCATATAACCTGACATGAGACACAGGCAAGCAAGGCCAGGTTTGGCTGGGATCTGCCACCCTGGGATTGAAACTAAAGCAACTCAACAGGTCTGGGTGTGCCATACCGGTTCCCTACCTTCTTTGGGCCCTGACCATCAGGGAAATAGACTGATGGTAGAACAATCAGACAGTGAGTCAGCTAAGATTCTCATTGTCATGTTTCTCAGGCTACCTATAGAATCTGGCCTGAGAACGCTAAGCTAAACATTATCCTGATACACTAAATACAGTAGTCCCTCCCCTCAACCAAGGATACCAAAATCCACGGATTCTCAAGTCCCTTATGTAAAATGGCATAGAGCATTTCATAGGGTCTGCCCTTCACATCCAGGGATTCCCAACCACAGGTCAGAAGTACTGTTTTCCATCAGAGGTTGGTTGAATTCATGGATGTGAAACCCAGGGATACAGAGGGCTGACTGTATATTTATTGAAAAATAAAAAATCTGCATTTATAAGTGGACTCACACAGTTCAAACCCATGTTGTTCAACAGTCAACTATGATCCAAAAACGTAATTTGTTTTTAGCTGCTAACATAGGGATCACTTGGAAAGCTCTTTATAAATGAAATTTCAGTTTGTACTAGTGGAGGTACCCTATAGTCAGTTACATCTTACATTTAATGAAGAATTAGTCAAACCATATGATTTCACTTATATTAAGTGGAATCTGAGAAATAAATAAATAATAAACAAAACAGAAATAGATTCATAAATACAGAAAACAAATTGATGGTCAGCAGATTGAGGGGAGAGGTTAGGAAGATGGGTGAAAAAGGTGAAAGAGATTACAAAGTACAAATGTCCAGTTATAAGAATAGTCACAGGGATATAAGGGACAGCAGATGAAACACTGTAATAACTATGTACTGTGTCAGATGGGTAGCAGATTTACCAGGGGGATGACTTCATAAGGTATATGAATGTCTGATCACTATGTTGTATACCTGAAACTGATATAATATTGTATATCAACTGTAATTGAAAAATAAATTTAAAAAAAGAATTAGTCAAACCAAAATGTGTGAAGAAAAATTACCCTCTTAATATAACATGAATTTGATTGGTATTTGTTGCATGGCAAATATGCTAGACCTCAAGCATTTAGGGATCAGTAGGATAAAATTCTTACCTTCAGAGAGCTTGCCTTCTAGTGAGGAGACAAAGAGGTATAATGTAGTAGAATCATTGTTTCAGTGGAGCTAGGCATGGCGCTGTGGTCGCACATAGGAAGGACAGAAGACTAGGACTAAAAGACTCAGACAGGGAAAAGCTTCTCAGAGAAGATGATCCCATAGCTGGATGAGTAGGAGTTAATCCAACAAAAGGTAGAGAAAATCTTTCTGAATTCTGACAGATTCTGGCTGTCATATTCAGGGAGGAGACTGGGGTGAGGTAAGTGAGCTGCCGAGGGTGCAAAATTTAAATAGGCCCTCAGTCACTCATTCTCAGGGCACTTTAAGTGCCCGACGTGCTGTGCCCAGAGTCCATGTCTGATGTACCCCACTGGCCTGCTCCTGGCCCTGCTCATACTGTGTAAAGCTTTTAAGACATTCTTTTAAAAGGAGAAACACGTTTTACCCCAGCTGAAAGCTTGTGTCCTTCCAGAGGTACTTACAAACAATTTCATTATTTGTGATAGTTATGCTTTATAAAGTCACTGTGAACACTGAACCATTGCTCCTAGGGGAAATACAGGGCTAGGTTTCTGTGAGCCTCTGCTCACAGCACTTTCAGCAGCTGATCAGTACATAACCTTGTTTTATGCGTGTTTCTATTTAAAGACACCTTATTTAATGTATACTGTTGACTCATTAACATTGAGCTCACAGCCAATAGCATTATAACCATGCTCAAACGAAGCTTATCTAACCTGTATTTTCTCTATAAGGCACATCACAGCCTTCTTATACTCAAAAGACTAGACAGCACTTTAATACTACACTCGGGGACCAATTTAAACAGCAAATTCACCAGCAAAAATTGTGGAAAATGAGGCACTAAATAGACCCTGGGAAGGACACTTGTCCATAGCATGAGTGAGCGCTGAAACAGGAAGGTAGAGCCTTGCCTTGTTCACCCTTAGCTGGAACAGGCATGGGCCACCCAAGGGTTTTGTCACTCTGCTCGCGTCTGCAAATGACCACTAAGAGCTGCGGAGTATTGATTTTCATGTTATCAATAAATGTTAGCAAGTAGGCGAATTCGTCGACGCAGACTCTCTGAAAAATGAGGACTGACAGCCCCAGTAGTTCTAGAGCCTTCATTTTTCCTTCCCTCCTTCTGCCTGTCTTCGTAGGTGAGGGGCCGTGAGACGTACGAAATGCTGCTGAAGATCAAAGAATCCCTGGAGCTCATGCAGTACCTCCCTCAGCACACGATTGAAACATACAGGCAGCAGCAGCAGCAGCAGCACCAGCATTTACTTCAGAAACAGTGAGTGTGTCCACGTGTCATCCGAGAAGGCATTAGTGAGAGCGAATGTCACAGTCACGTGATCGGGGGGCGATGCAGAAGATGGTGTAGACAACAGGACCGCATAGGTTCAGATGAGCTGGTGTGGGGCTCCTTTTTCAGTTTCAACAGCCTTCTGTGCTCGTTGTCATAACCTTCCCTTTGACAAGCCCAACCTATATTCTGAAAGGGAATTCAAATGATTTCAAATGAATCACAGAGACTCATACTGACAGAGTAAGTTCTCTTCTCTCTACCCCAATCCAAATGCATCTATCAATAAGGAATTTTGAGTATGCATGATATTTGAGCAATAATGTATATATTTAAAAACACATAATCTTCCCCCATCCCAATGAGTTATCTTGTACCTCTCCTGGGATGCACACAACCCACATTTGGGGAAACAATTATATAGCAGGGACAGCACATAGGTTATAGCGTAAGTGACTCGGTTGAGTGCAGTGCTGGGAAGGATCCTGAGACCCAGTGCATGCTCCCTGGGGAAACGTCTGCATGCAGGAGAGCACAGTAGCATCATGTTGCCATGCTTTAGCATCCCTGTTCCAGGCTGTCTTCCAGCAATATATTTTGGCATAAATTGGGCCAGATTTTGGAACCATATATGCGTACAACCTTTTATATGTTAATTTTTACCTTACTCTTGGATCTTTGATGATGTTAATTGTTTTATGACTAACTAGAATAGAATAGCTCTTATAAAAGGAAGGGAAGTTGGTGAATCAGGACTCTGCATATACTTAGCTTTCTGTAGTTAAGAATAATCTCTTGTTAGCTTAATTAAGATACGGGAAGTATTGCTGGAGTCTCTGTAGATATATGCAAAATGTATTCATTTTGGGTCCATTTGAGTAATTCAAACATTTGACTTTACTCTTCAGGCAAAAAGAAATGAAACCAAAACAGTCTTGCCTAAGGCAAAGATTATCTTTTGCAGTAGAATTGTAAATGAACATTACATGTGTGTTTTTTCTGATATATTATTAGCTACTCTAGAGAGATAGCTATGAAAAGTAGAATCAAGAGGGCTTGTTATTCTTTTTTTAATAAAAATAAATAAAGTTGAGGATGTTGGACGGCTTCTCTCATAGTTAGGAGGCATCCTCTAAGCCTTGGGGGCTGCAAGCCTGGAGTGGGCAGTGGAGGGATAGAAAAGGTGTACTCTTTCTTCAAAGGACTTTAGGCTTTTGGGTGTTTAAGAACCCTTTTGCTTAAAAGGGATCTCACCGTTTACTTTTAGCATGAGAGTTTGGGGAATTATAATTCTAAGGTTTTAAGCAAGGCTGAGTGGAAAGGTTAATCACAAAGTTCTTTAGGGACACAGAGTATTCCAAAGGAAATTTAGAACTCGAAGTTGCAGACAAAATTCCCATTGCCAATTCTTTTGACTCTTTAGTATATCAGATAGAAATATATGTTAACATACTCATGGGTAAAACTGATTTAATTCTTATAAAGTCATACAACAGAGATGAAAGAAACAGACCTGTAACATCATTACACAGCCAGAGGTGATAAGAGCCACCCCAAGATATACATATCATGGTATTCAGAAACTCTCCCAATTACCTCCAGTTCACTCTGGAAATGTTTGGCTCAGCCAAAATGACCTCTGAAGAATGACACAGTAGCATATTATGCCGACCTAGTTGTTCTGTGATTCTCTTTTCAGTCTTTTTTCTAATTAACAGGAAAAGTACTGTTAAAAGGCCACATTGGAACCGATTAAATCCGATTAAATGGTGTGGTTTAAAAGATCTGACCATCTAGCTCAGAGTTGGCCATTTTTTCTATAATGCACCAATAGTAAATACCGCAGTCTCTCTGGTCCATATGGTCTCTTGCAGCTACCCAGTTCTGCCTTTGTAGCACCAAAGCCCCAACAGCCAATAGGGAAACAAATGAGAGTGGCTGTTATAGCAAAGCTTTACTTTAGGGCCACTGAAACTTGAAGTTCATACAATTTTCACATCATGAATTACTCTACTTCTTTGAATTTTTCCACGTTTTAAAAATGTAAAATACCATTCTGTACCTATGGGCCAGATTTATCCTATCCACTGTATTTTGCAGACTTTTTTCTAGATAAATGAGTGACCCTTCCTTCGTTGCTTCTTGAGGCTCATATTTTTTCACAGAAATATTTGGAGGTGAATGTGTGTGTTCTAAAGTAGAGAGGTATTAAAAGTTTTTAGGAAATTGTAAAGTGACTTTTAAGGTGACATTTCAGTATCTAACAAAACAGCAACCTTTATCAGAGATTTACTTTGTCCCAGAAGGTTAGGCACACCCATCCAGACTTAAAATGTGGTTAATGACGCAGCTCCATTATCAGTTAAGACTGGCATAGTTGACTTGATTCATGTAACAAACTATCAGTGAAGATCTGCTGCATGAAAGCATTAAGGATAGACATGAGTGAGATGGGGCTCCTGCCTTCCCATAGCTTTATAATTTAATGATGAATTCATGACCAGAACACCTTTTGAATTTTAAAAAAGCTCTGGAAATTTATCGAGCTTCTCTAGGTCATATAATAAGGGGAATCGCTTGGTGTCATACTTTTGGAGACTTTATAAGCCAGGAGGATCTGCGTCAGTCAGTTGAAGACGTGTGCTATTTGCTTGTTTACACGGCATACGTGAGACTGCATTGCCTGCTGTCCCCATACGATCAGTTATCTGGTGCTTATTGTCTGACTGGCTGGCAGTGGTTTAAAGAGAAATTATTTTCCAATTCCTGTTTTATATAACAATCTATTTCATCAAAGAAAAAAAGTGCATCTTAAAATTGTGTTATTTTAAAAGCCCCAAAGATTTTAGAGACCCACTGTCACTTTTTTGCATGTGTGGCCACAGATACATAGTGAGGAATGGGTAGACTCATAATTCCTTGGGGTGTCTATTTAAAGTATCATTGCATGTGTTTGAGTGGTTCTCTCACAGTCTTATAAGAGCTAACTTCAGATGTGATAACTTGTGCATGGAAATCTAACAGCCTGCAAACTGAAATCTTTGCAAAATATACACATTAGGTCTAATTTTGCCTTTGTTACATTATATATACATGGCTCTCCAATGATTGATACGCATTTATATAAATTCTCCAGTGGCTGTATTCTTCAACTGAGTTTTTTCAGCTCTTTTATTTTCATGCAAATCTCCCAGAAAGAGCATGAATAACTAGACAGAGAAAAATGGAAATCTAGTTCCCTGGCAATCATTTGAAAAGAATAAATCAGCTTGAAAATGCCTACAATAGCCTGTGATTTTCTTTCCAAAAACATAGTACCAAGTTTATGCTGGTAAGGAATCAATTTTGTGCTTTTCTCTATAGTGGAGGGAAAATTAGTGGGAAGGGAATACACTTTCTACAATGCGGCAATAACATATTTTAAATTTAATTACTTCTATTAGATGCTCACTATGTGTTTTCTCTCTGCTTGATTTTCATTTGTGCATGTTTTCCTTTTTCAAAAATTCCTTCCTGATTACCTTCATGATCATAGGCTTTATGAAGGATAAGTTTTACACTGAGTTTTTGTGAATCAAATTGTTATAGGTGTAAGTAGGTTTTTTACCATTTATAAATAAATAGAATTTCAGTTGATTTGCTCACATTGGAATAAACATGGGGGTTATGTTTATAGAGGTCACAATTTAGTAGGAGGAGAAATTGGACCCATTTTTGAACTAGACACCTTACTTTTATATTTTTAAGGGACATTAATTCTAGATAGCTCTACAGAAACCACTCGAGACATTTTAGCAATCTTGTTTTGTGTGCTTTAGACCAATACCATTTTTTCAGATTTTTCTGTAGTTTATTCTCCTTTGCTTCCATCCTGATCTCAGGCCAACATCACTGTTAAAATTTTACTTGATTTCCAGTGGAAAATTATTTTTTAGTTACTACAGGATGGACTCATTCTAATTTTAATACAAATATGTGATCTATGAGCAGCCTTTAGTGTTTCCTTTTCTTTTATGATCACTTGATGATTGCAGCTCCTTAGGTACAGGTCAGAGAATATTGGAGCAGAGCAGGATCTTCAAGACCATAGTTCTAATGCCTACATACCATAGCTCGGGCAACTGAGGCCCAATGAACTGCGCCTGTGATTTTCTGGCCAGCTCATAATGAAGTTCAGATGAGAATCTTATTTGGAAGATACAGCTCTTCGCAATGCTCTGGTCTGCTTCATTAGTTAAGAAAGTCATAATAAGGCATAAGCAAGCATCTATTTCTATTTTTCTGTCCCTGTATCAGTCAGTGTATACTTACCTTGTGATTTCAGTGTAAAATCCTCTCTCTTAAGGCTCATGTGGCTATATTTGGCTACATTTGGCTATGATTTTCTTCAGTAATATTTATCATTTTTTCTCAGATTCACATATCTGATGATGAAACAAGCAATATTTTCAGGATCATCAGTGTAGAGAAGAGGAGAGGACATAAATCTCAGTGCTAGATATAATGAATATCATATTTCTAAGTTTGATTTAGAAATCTTACAAATTTCCAGAATATTTGTTTGAAATTGCAGTTTCATAGATTAAAGAACAGATGAATATTGGCAATTCCATGTGGTCCAGCCTCACAGGTCATAGAACTGCACAAGCTTTTTACAGTTTGCACGGTGTTACTTTTTTAACTTTGCTGCTATGTTAGGAAGTTGTCAGGACAGATATTCATTAGCTCTGAATTGGTAATGAGGAAAAAAACTTAGATTAATTAAATTCATATAGATTAGATTGCTTTTCTAAGCCCTCACATCTCACTGCAGAAATGGTCTCTGTTCAAGGTCTCAAAGTTTGAACCCCTGTGGTCCACGCACCCATATAACTAAAACATGACTTCTGCATGTTGTTTCATTCAGGCCTGGCTCCATGAGAAGCCCCAAATGTAATATACAAACAAGCAGTCTTTAGTTGACAGTAAATTACTTCCTTACTAATATG